TATCACAGCTGTTTTTTTTCCTCAAACACAAACAAATAAATATAGAGAGTAAATAAATGACGTGTCTTTTGAAAAATTTATTCATAAAAATAGTTTACCGAATTTGGTAAAGGCAAAAACGCAAGTGATTTAGAAATTAAGCTCTTTCCAGGGGTACAAATTGCCACGCACAAAAAGAAAATTGTAACTCTTTTAAAAATACCATATTGACCTTTCCGATGTTCCACTTTGTTTTATATCTCAACTTGATCGATTCGCTCGTGTATGCAACAACGCATTTGATTTCAACGAAAGAAATCTCTGTAAAAAATTATTACACCAAGGTTTTCGATATCACAAACTAGTCAAAACATTTACTAAATTTTATCATCGGTACAAGGACATCATTCGTAAATATAGATCTTATACGTTCAGATATTTCACATCCAATCTTTTATGGTAATTAATATTCTATACAAAGCACAAAAATGTCGTCATTCGCCTCAAAAGCTAACCAAACCTAAAAACAGACTTATTCAGAAGGGATATAGATGAGAGATATAGTTACGATACTGTTGTCAGGTCATTAAAGATGGCATATTTTGGAATTAATGGAAGTAAACACATTTATTTAGAACCAGTTGTTGGCATGATACGGGTTGTGTTCTTCTCATATATGTTATGATGGTATGATACTAAACCCCTAACGGGAGGGATTGTGCTTGATTTTCATATGATGAAGACATAATCTTTCAATCAGTTTAATTGAGGTCTGGAGCTGGCATGTCAGTAACTGCTAGTAGTCCTTTGTTAATTTATGTATCATTGTCATTTTTCTTAGTTTCTTCTGTTACCTATTCTGACATCGGACTCGGACTTCCTTTAAACTGAGTTTGACTGTGCGTCTTGATGTGTGTTTGTTTATCCTACATTGGCTAGAGGTATAGGGGGGATTGAGATCTCACAAAACATAATTAACCCCGCCGCATTTTTGCGCCGACCAAGTCAGGAGCCTCTGGTTTTTGATAGTCTTGTATGTTTGTTTTTTAATTGTAGTTCATTTATATGTTTCGGAGTTTAGTGTGACGTCCATTTTCACTGAACTAGTACACATTTTTGTTTAGGGGCCAGCTGAAGCCCGCCTCCGGGTGCGGGATTTTCTCGCTGTGGTGAAGACCCATTGGTGGCCTTAATTGGTCTGTTTTCTGCTCTTTGGTCGGGTTGTTGTCTCTTTGACACATTACCCATTTCCATTCTCAATTCTCTCAAGTTTGATTACCGTCTCCTCGGAGACGGCCTTAACAGTTGAGCGATGGACAGTCTTCGGACTGAATGCTTTCTTACTACCTGATTGGAAGATATTACTGACGCTTTAATTCATATTAAAAGTCTGTTGATTGGTTAGTGCAATTTGAAACCCAGTAAATGTCCTTCAATTCCGCAGAGTGTCGCGTTTGAACTCTTTATTTTAAGTTATTAAAGCTGCATCGTAATCAATCATGCATATAGGTAAACAGGGACATTATTCTATCTATATAGCCGATACTCCTGCAGTTTTGTAGGACACGTGATCATTCCACATTAATCCAGTCGCTCGTTGTTATGAATGTTTATAAAGTCATTCTAGTTGAAACGTATATGAAAACCTAGAGACACACGTACCGCGCATGCTTTTTTCCTCGGTTATACATATTGATACTTAATTAAAAAACAGATATAACCAAATCAATAATTTTCGATTAATATTGATAAATACGGGAATAATTTAGAGGAGGGTTTGCGCTGGGCTAGACAATGCCTAGCTATCTTTCTGTGGTAAGATGTCAGAGTGGGAAGAACATAAGACGAGGGGATAATAGAAAAAAACCCGACTCAGACTATAAAAGCAATTATTTGTGCATGTTAACATATTTTAATTGCTAAATATGACCAAGGATACAAATCCTTGATATGACCTAAAGGAAATGTGAAGTATACATAAATAACTAAGACAGGCAACCCAATTTATCGACACACAAAACTCCTTATTTCTAAAGTACAAACACCGCATGCCTCTTACAAGTTAGTCTTCTACAATGGACATATTGTGTCATTACAATAATTTTTTAGCTTTTAACCCTCACACGTCTAGCTAGATATAGAATAATTGTGAATAAATGTTTTAAAAAAATTGGTAAAAAATTAATTAATACATATAACTGAAAACAATGGACATAGTCAGAAACAAACGTCTTATACATGTTTTTGAGATTTATTGACTATCTATACTAGTACGATAGGACTGGGTACAAGTTATACAAACAATTTAAAATAATCCTCTCCAAATAATTACAATATACAAAATTTATACTAAAATGCTATACTAAAAAAAAGAAAGTAAATAGATATACATCTAAAAGACGAAATTACTGTTGGCATTGGATTATTAGAAAATGGATGTTTTACTATGATAATAAAACAAAAAGACATCTACATCTACATGTCAACATATAAACGCTCTCCCACAAAAGAATATATTAATTCAGCATGTTTAGCTTTGAGGATAATACGAATAAAGGCCTTATTTTTCTCTCAATATCAAGTCCATCATGCGACAAAGTGAAATAGAACGAATTTTGTAGAACGCTTCAAAGGTTACATTGGAATGTATACCCGAAAAGGGCAACAAAAACAGACTTTGATGAAATTTTCCAAATCTTATGGATTTCAACGAAATTTAGACTTGGATGGTATAAAGCGCTGTATTCGAGAAACTAACTATTTTAGTCAATTATTTTATTTATATTATAACATGTATTATAAGCATAATGTTGCAAGATATTTTTGTCGACGTGTGCGCTAGCGCTGTTTCCGGTTCTGAAAACGAATGGAAATAGCGTCCTGCTTTCTTTTGTGTTTGTTGGGAAATTGAAATTGATGCTAAATGTTTCGTCAAAGAATGATATCTAATCTAGTTATTGTTTTTGAAATGATTCATTGTTATAACAGTCATCAATCAAAATTTGAATTTTAAGCTCGATATACTAGTAATATTTTGGCCTTATCCAAATTACTCCTTTTCCTATAGCCTTAAACGTTGATGAGTTGTTTTATCTGGACTATCTAGACCAGAGACCTAAACTTTATTAGGTCAATGCTTATGCTAAGTTTTTCTAGATCTCAACACTTCTCGTTTTAATTAGTTTTGAAAGACAAAAGGCAGATAAAAGATTGTTCAATATAACTTTTAAGGATCATTTTAAAAAGATGTGAGAAATCTTTGGAAAAAATATTTTTGTGTTCTTTAATGTTTAAATTTTACTACCTTTCACATTCTATACACTTTTTGAGACCTACTATGAATGCAACGGATACAGGCGGAAGTGGTCCTCCTTTTCTAAAAGAAAGAAATAAACAACTGATCTAGGAAGAAGTAAATGAATAACATATCTTTTTTGAAAAAAAAAGTAATCGATAAACAGATACAAACACAGATGATTGAGTAAGTCTCCCCCTTTTTTCGGTGTTTATACATTACCCGCAGGCATTTGTCTCCGAAAAAATGTCATATATACCTTAATGTTATATAAAGGTATATATGGAAAAAAAACAGAGACAAGTGTCTGTGATTCCCCACAAAAAGAAATAGGAAAATCTCAAAATTAGTATTTGCCGTTTATTTTTGCTATTCTGCATGGAAAAACATTTTCAAATTTCATCAGCTATGAGACGGCTAGCTTTTTAGAAAATCTGTTACTTGTAGGATAGATGCGTTCAACATAGTTGCCAAATTTTAATTATTTTTAGTGAGAGAACATCATCTATATAGCGGAAAGTGAAGTTAAAGGATACTGCTAAGTTCTTTTCTTTTTTCCTTAGATGTTCCTGTGTGAAGTCAGCCTCATGTTAATAAAGGAACAAGTCGACAAGAAGAGGAGCACAATTGGTTCCCATGGGAATGTGATTGTTTGTTGGAAAACACTTCCTCCAAACGTAACAAATATGTTGTCAATCAAGAAATCAAGCATCTTGATAATGTCAGTTTCAGACAATTTTTTGTTTGAATCAGAATTAATTTTTACAAAGAACGTTTTATCCCTCCCTAAGACAAGATACTTGTATCTTCGTTGGCCATTCTTTTTAATGCCTGAAACAAAGCAGGACCAGCTCTTTCAATTTGTTTTTTTTTTTAAGGTTAGAATGGGGAATAATTGTGTAAAGTGTAGAACGGTCAATTGCTTTAATATTAGTATTGCAAGATAAGAGAGTTTTAGATTGTATGTACTCTAAAATCTTTGGAATATTTTAGTATCCACATCTGATTCACGTCACCTCTAGAATAGGTAGTTTCACAATAACTTTGAAGCCCGAATTTGATTGCTGAAGTACTTGAATTGATGCTACCATTTAGAAAGAGGTTTCGTGGAGCATTTGGAAGACCGAGCAGTATAACGTTGGTTGTAAGGACACTTATGTAGCCCAGTTTATGTATCCAATACGGTGAAGAAAGAGCCAGTTCTTCATCTTTGGTTGAAATTCAAAAGGAACATAGAACAGACCTCAGGGGCGGATCCAGCCATTTTTAAAAGGGGTTCCAACGATATGTCCCCATTCAAAAGCATTGATCGTCAAAAAAGAAAAGGGTTGGAACCCCCCCCCCCCCCCCCTTGGATCCGCCACTGGACCTATGATTATCCAGGATTTCCTGTATGTCGTTGGGGTATTATCATTTGAGTTCCAAGTCAATACCTATCTCATTTATCAAGCAGTTTATGGACTTGGGGCTTTATCTGCGGGTACAACAACATATTTGTCATGGATGTAGGACAGGTGTTTACAACATTTGGGTCTATAAAGATTGATATAGCATATGGGTATTCATAGAATCGATAAGTTTTTTAATATGATCCATAATCACCACGTGATAATCACAGTATCTTTAAAATCATAGAAATTATCCGGAAAAATATTTACTCCCTTCTCGGGAATTTGGTTCGTAGTTTATAACTTTGAATTGACCAATCAAATTCCAGTTCTCAAAAAGCGCTAAATTCAACAAAATGGAGTCTCCTGTGAGTCAAAATAAACACATTACACAAACATTATACGCATACATGGGCTCACATACATAAGCTGATATATGGAGTAGGGACAAGCCAGTGCAAAAAAAATTAAAAAAAGAAGCGGCATCTCATACATAGCAAACACTGATCATGAGTAGCTTTAATCTGTTAACTTAGAGAAACATTGAAAATGAGTCCATGTTCATAAATTATGAAACATTTCTTCTTATTTAGATATACAGTATATCACGGATCAACTGAACTTGGCGACCACAATACTCGTATACCAGTATTGTCAACAATACTCGTATACATAAAATGTATAAGTATTGTATACGAGTATTGTCCTAGTATTGTTTATATAAAATATAAATACATCTAAGTAGAGGGGTCTCACTAATTAGCGACAAGAAGAATAATTTTAGCGACAAGAAAACATTTTTTAAAATTACTTATTCCAAATAAATATTAAAAAATATGCATTTAATTTTTTTTTAATATATGGGAAGAAATAAATAGATTTTTTGTTTATTATATTGATAGATGAAGAAATTAAACATTTGTGAGGAAGAAAGGGATTGCGTAGTTTTTATAATAATATTGATAGATGAAGAAATTTAAACATTTGTAAGGAAGAATGGGATAACAAGGCCCGTGTCCCTTGTTTTATCGCTACAATAACATCCAATTAACACCTTCAACTTTGTACACGCGTCAGACTATACAATTACACGCGACAGAATATACAATCATTGTAAATAGTGAACACCTGTTGAAAACTCAAGATTGTCATTAATTTCCTTCAATCTTCAATTAACATTTAACTATGCATAAACATGATAAATATCATTAAATGAGGCAATACACAAAATAAAATGATGAAAAATATTCACATCTTAATTAATAATTATGTTTTCCTCTTGTTTGATTTCAGTTCTTTGTATTTCACAATTTGTGTCTGTATTTTCTGGACAATTATGCACAAATAATGCATTTTGCAAGTTTATTATATATTGTACAAAGAGAGTTTTAAAAACAAATTATAAGATAAATATATTATTGTTCTAAAACACAAGTAAAATTAATATCATAATACGACAGGGGAAACGTTATGCTTGCTTTATACATAATAAATAATAAAATATCACAAATGTCGCAATTAGGTCTATGTTTCAAAATTTTTTTCTATCTATTTATTGATAGAATATTATTTTTCTTGTCGCTAAAATTGTTTTCGTTTGCATATTCTTTTAATATTTATTTGGAATAAGTAATTTTGATAAAAAAAAATGTTTTCTTGTCGCTAAATAGTCTTCTTGTCGCTAAATTATTCTTCTTGTCGCTTCTCTACGCTTCTTGTCGCTAAAATTCTTCTTGTCGCTAATTAGAGAGACCGAAGTAGAGTGTAATTATTACTGCATTTATTCAAAAATATTCAAAAGTAATGTATTGATTTGAAAAATATTATTTCATGATAGAAAATAAGAAACATTTATTCATTTTTGTCGAGCCTGCGACTTTTGTCGCAGAAAGCTCGACATAGGGATAGCGATCCGGCGGCGGCGGCGGCAGCGGCGGCGTTAGCTAACTTCTTAAAAGCTTTATATTTTAGAAGGTGGAAGGTCTGGATGCTTCATACTTTGTATATGGATGCCTCATGTTACGAAGTTTCCGTCAGTCACATGTCCAATGTCCTTGACCTCATTTTCATGGTTCAGTGACTACTTGAAAAAAAAGTTCAGATTTTTTGTAATGTTAGATTCTCTCTTATTATAAGTAATAAGATAACTATATTTGGTATGTGCGTACCTTGCAAGGTCCTCATGCCCGTCAGACAGTTTTCACTTGACCTCGACCTCATTTCATGGATCAGTGAACAAGGTTAAGTTTTGGTGGTCAAGTCCATATCTCAGATACTATAAGCAATAGGTCTAGTATATTCAGTGTATGGAAGGACTGTAAGGTGTACATGTCCAACTGGCAGGTGTCATCTGACCTTGACCTCATTTTCATGGTTCAGTGGTTATAGTTAAGTTTTTGTGTTTTGGTCTGTTTTTCTTATACTGTATGCCATAGGTCTACTATATTTGGTGTATGGAATGATTGTAAGGTGTACATGTCTAGCGGGCAGGTGTCATCTGACCTTGACCTTATTTTCATGGTTCAGTGGTCAAAGTTAAGTTTTTGAGTTTTGGTCTTTTTTTCTAATATGTGCAATAGTTGAACTATATTTGGTATGTGCGTACCTTGCAAGGTCCTCATGCCCGTCAGACAGTTTTCACTTGACCTCGACCTCATTTCATGGATCAATGAACAAGGTTAAGTTTTGGTGGTCAAGTCCATATCTCAGATACTATAAGCAATAGGTCTAGTATATTTGGTGTATGGAAGGACTGTAAGGTGTACATGTCCAACTGGCAGGTGTCATCTGACCTTGACCTCATTTTCATGGTTCAGTGGTTATAGTTAAGTTTTTGTGTTTTGGTCTGTTTTTCTTATACGATATGCAATAGTTCAACTATATTTGGTGTATGGAAATATTTTATGATCTATTTGGCAGTCATGCAGGTTTTATTTGACCTTGACCTCATTTTCAAGGTTCATTGCTCAGTGTTAAGTTTTTGTGTTTTGGTCTGTTTTTCTTAAACTATAAGCAATAGGTCAACTCTATTTGTTGTATGGAAGAATTGTTAGCTGTACATGCCTGCCTAGCATGGTTCATCTGACCTTGACCTCATTTTCATGGTTCATTGGTCAATGTTTAGTTTACTTGGTTAATGTTAAGTTTATGTGACAGTTGTAATAAAGCTTTATATTTAGGACTATCAACATAATATCAATGATTAGTAAAGAAGGCGAGACATTTCAGTGTGTGCACTCTTGTTGTATCTCATGATAAAGTGTTTTCAAGGGAAATAACCCAAGGATTTTAAATTGATGCACAACAGTTTCAGACTCTTATGTACTATTTAGTTAGTCCTTAAAAGGACTGGTTGGCCACTTTGGGACTTTCCAGTATATTAACTGTTTAGACTGGGTATTGTTTAGCGATGTGGATACACAAGTTTGTTGAATGAGTCTTCTGTATTCTTCCCCCATCGGTCTCGCCACATTCTTTCATCTAGATAGGAATCGAGTGCTTCACTTGAAACTCCTTTCATTATTTTGAATTTCTGTTTTGTTTTGGCCCAGCAGGATTCAATAGTTTGTGTGTGTACGCCTGTTTCTGGGTCGACAAAGTTGACAGAGTGAATAACCATGGCGTGATCAAGTTGCAGTTTTTCTTGGATGCGGTGGTATGCCTTCCATTGGTCAGAGTGGACGATGAATCCTGGTTTCACAAAACGTTGTATAATTGGTAGTAGGGTGTCTGCATCCCGTTTATCTACTATCTGCATGTATGTGATGGCTGGTTTGGATGATGTGTCGGCTATAACAAAAACCCACTGCTCTTTACTGGCCCGGCATCCTCTGTTGTATTTGGCTTTGTGGCAAAAGAGGCTCTCATCTATCTGGACCACCTAACTGGCATGGCGTACTTAGGAGTTTGGTGGTGCAAATATTTCTGATATACTGGTACACTTGTACGGTTGTCTTTGCAGAAATGCCTGTTGTTTCAGCGGCTTTCTTCACCATAATTTGTATCCTGACACCAAAGATACATAAAGTACAACCACTTTGCTAAGGGTACTTTAGATCTTTCGTAAAATGAGCCAGACCTGATGGATCGAGTTGTGAGTCTTTTGGTACACTTTCCGTTGATGCATTCAAAACCATAGCCATCTGTAGTGTCTTTTGTTGGTAAAAAAAACACCAACAAGTTGTTAATAAAACACATCAATGAAAATAACAAACCCTATTGATTTTTGTTTTTTTTTAACAATATTTGTACATTAATTATATACGAGTATTGTTGACAATACTGGTATACAAGTATTGTGGTCGCCAAGTTCAGTTGATCCTATATCACAGGCACTGTTCTTTTTTAACGTCCTGGGGAGAACACTGGCATGAGCTAGCAGCTAACAACAAACCATCACTGTATTGGTCTCTGATATCAATTTTATTACTGTTATAGTTTTGACATGGGAAAAATGATGTTGCAAAATATATTGTTAGCAGCAGTCTTATGTTGCCAGTGACAAGTGGTAGCACAAATATAGCATGCCAAGTGGTAAGTTTTAAATCTCTGGATATCCAGATATGACCTGTCAAGTATTCTTCAAGTATTTCTACAATTTGGGGGTTATGACATTTTGAGTTTAACAAAATGTATATTTTCTTATACATGTCATACATAGAAATTTAGAGAATACTTTATTATTTCAGGACACTGAAGATATCAGCATGTCAGATTCCATGAAGAATGAGGTTCCACCAAAGAAAAGAAGAGCATTGAAGAGAGTTATGAAAAAAGAAAAAGCAAAGACTTTTAAACAGAAAAGAAACTTGAATACATCACTGTCGTCACTGTCTAAAAGTTTTAATAGAAGTGGTACTGTTTGTATTTACACCGATATTAGTTCAATCTGTCGTCACTGTCTAAAAGTTTGAATAGAAGTGGTACTGTTTGTATTTACACTGATATTAGTTCAATCTGTCGTCACTGTCTAAAAGTTTGAATAGAAGTGGTACTGTTTGTATTTACACTGATATTAGTTCAATCTGTCGTCACTGTCTAAAAGTTTGAATAGAAGTGGTACTGTTTGTATTTACACTGATATTAGTTCAATCTGTGGTCACTGTCTAAAAGTTTGAATAGAAGTGGTACTGTTTGTATTTACACTGATATTAGTTCAATCTGTGGTCACTGTCTAAAAGTTTGAATAGAAGTGGTACTGTTTGTATTTACACTGATATTAGTTCAATCTGTCGTCACTGTCTAAAAGTTTGAATAGAAGTGGTACTGTTTGTATTTACACTGATATTAGTTCAATCTGTGGTCACTGTCTAAAAGTTTGAATAGAAGTGGTACTGTTTGTATTTACACTGATATTAGTTCAATCTGTGGTCACTGTCTAAAAGTTTGAATAGAAGTGGTACTGTTTGTATTTACACTGATATTAGTTCAATCTGTGGTCACTGTCTAAAAGTTTGAATAGAAGTGGTACTGTTTGTATTTACACTGATATTAGTTCAATCTGTTTTACACTGATATTAGTTCAATCTGTGGTCACTGTCTAAAAGTTTGAATAGAAGTGGTACTGTTTGTATTTACACTGATATTAGTTCAATCTGATTGAAATACAGATCATGTGTCCAAGCTTTGCTTATCACTACCTTACAATAGTACAATATAGGGTCCCCCTTTTTGTCTTTCCGTTTTTCTGTCCGACTATCCGTAAGTCCCTCCCATTTTCACTTCCACACTCTAACTTAAGTTTGTCTCATGCAAATTTTATGAAACTCATACACAATGCTAAGAACCAAAACTTGCAGACAGAGTTAAAATTTAGCTGTGAGTCACTTACTGTTTTAGAGTTATGCCCCTTTATCATGTTTATAAATTGGAAAATTGCAAATTCTTTTGTTTCAGCACTCTTACTAAGTTTGCCTCTTGCAAATTTTATGAAGCTCATACACAATGCTAAGAACCAAAACTTGCAGACAGAGTTTGAATTTGAGCAGTGAGTCACTTACCGTTCTAAGAGTTATGCCCCTTTATAACTTGTAGACACATTCTTCTTTTATTTTTTTTGGGCAACAATCCAGAATTTTTTTTTCACAGAGTATTTCCAGTATTGTACAAACTGCTTTATTGGAAGTTTGCCTTCTATTTGTCAATGAACAAGGATTTCAAGATAGTAAAACTGTTAAAATACTATAAATCTTCTGTCAGTTAGGGGTTCTACTTTTACAAGATATTTTTATTTACTTGAAGAAGTAAATAATAATATGCTTATATAAGTAAATTTGTTATATTCATCTTTTCTTATAAGGTTTGAATAATCTCGCCTTAATTTTCTCAAAAAATTTACTCGTATAAGTAATTTTTTAGCTCACCTGGCCCTATGGGCCAAGTGAGCTTTTCTCATCACTTATCTTCCGTCATTGTCCGTTAACTTTTACAAAAATCTTCTCCTTTGAAACTACTGGGTCAAATTTAACCAAACTTGGCCACAATCATCCTTGGGGTATCTAGTTTAAACAATGTGTCCGCTGACCCGGCCCGCCAACCAAGATGGCCGCCATGGCTAAAAATAGGGGTAAAATGTAGATTTTGGCTTATATCTCTGAAACCAAAGCATTTAGAGCAAATCTGACATGGGGTAAAATTGTTCATCTGAAATCTTCAGACAAATCAAACATCCCTTTGTTGGGTTGCTGCCCCTGAAATGGTAATTTTAAGAAAATTTTGCAGTTTTTGGTTATTATCTTCTATATTATTATAGATAGAGATAAACTGCAAACAACAATAATGTACAGCAAAGTAAGATCTACAAATAAGTCAACATAACCAAAATGGTCAATTGACCCCTTAAGGTGTTATTGCCCTTTATAGTCAATTTTTTGTAAATATTTGTAATCTTTTACAAAAATCTTCTCCTCTGAAACTACTGAGACAAATTAAAGCAAACTTGGCCTCAATCATCATTAGGGTATCTAGTTTAAAAAAATGTGTCCGATGACCCGGCCTACTAACCAACATGGCGGACATGGCTAAAAATAGAACATAGGGGTAAAATGCAGATTTTGGCTTATATCTCTGAAACTAAAGCATTTAGAGAAAATCTGACGGGGTAAAAATGTTCATTAGGTTAAGATCTACCTGCTCTAAAATTTTCAGACAAATCAGACAACCCGTAGTTGGGTTGCTGCCCCTGAAATTGTAATTTTAAGCTAATTTTGCAGTTTTTGGTTATTATCTTGCATATTGTAATAGATAGAGATAAACTGTAAACAGCAGTAATGTTCAGCAAATTAAGATCTACAAATAAGTCAACTTGACCAAAATGGTAAATTGACCCCTAAAGGAGTTATTGCCCTTTATAGTCAATTTTTAACAATTTTTGTAATCTTTTACAAAAATCTTCTCTGAAACTACTGAGACAAATTTAAGCAAACTTGACCACAATCATCATTAGGGTATCTAGTTTAAAAAATGTGCCCGACAACCCCGCCTACCAACTAACATGGCCGACATGGCTAAAAATAGAACATAGGAGTAAAATGGAAGTTTTGTCTATTATATTTTGAACCGTTATAAATAGAGAAAATCTGAAAGGAGCAAAAATGTTCAGAATAATGAGCTCTACCAATTGTCCATATACGTCAAAACTGTTTTAGACTAATTCTTATAGGAGTTATTGCCCATAAATGACAAATTTTACCATTTTTTTTTTCATTTTTGCCTATTATAAATGAAAACTATGATATTTAGAGAGAAATATTTGTTTTCTGTAATGCCTTATATGATTTAAATTATAATAGATAAATAAACACTTTAAATCACAAAAATGATCAGCAAGGCAAGATCTATTAAAATGTCAAATTTTGACGATATAGTTAGTAGACTGTCTCTCTTCATAGGAGTGATTGCCCTTAAATGAGGATTTTTTTTACCCTCTTTTGTGTTTTGAGCAAAATAGAAGATAGAGAGAAACTAAACAGACTAAAAGATCAGTAATACAAGATCAACAAAATAGAGATTTTTGTCATGAAGTCTATTCTCGTCTACAATGTTGGAGAGTGTCCTTTGTTTGATATGCACATAGACCAAGGTGAGCCACACTAAAGAGCCTCTAGTTTTTACAATCCCAAAAACTCTCATGTTTTGGGATGTAAAAACATGCATTAAACAATTTTTCTCTGGTTAGCTCATAATTTTTTATTAGATTTCAACGTTTCAACTCATTAATTCAACAAAGAAACTAATTGCGCAAAGATCTTAAGTAATTGCACAAGGCCTTCAAAAATTGCCCCTTGGAGGCTAATTAATGAGCAGTGTTTTGAAAATAACAGACAAATGAGATTTTCATTTTCCATGAAATTACACTTAAATGATTAGTAAAGACATCTGCAAAGGACAGACAATTAAAAATTCTATTAGAGCAAAGAAGTCCTGAGAAATTCAAGAAAAGAAGATAGTATGACTTTTTTACTTGTATAAGTAAAAAAATCCGAATGTCTAAGGGACATAACTAAGCCATTAAAATAATTTACTTATACAAGTAAATAAAATACACTTGTATAAGTATCTTACAAATTTACTTATAAGTATATTAACATTTATATATACAATTACTTCTTCAAGTAAATAAAAATAACTTGTACTAGTAGTACCCCTGACTGTCTGTATGCTATTCAGTGGAATCTAAAAATTTGCAATGATTGGCCAACATCCAAAGAAGATCTGTCAGTTCAAATTTTTATTCAATCAAAAATACACCAAGATGTTTTATTTTATTAGCGCACAGTGTATGGAAAGGTCTGTTGATGAATATTTAAAAAAAACTTGTATACATGATTTTAAATTTTAAAAGATTTGAAATTTGTATTGACTGTAGAACAAGATGTATATATATATAATTTTATTTTGGATGAAACGTGTCTTCTGATTGGCTGACGTTGTTTTGTTTATCAGCTCATAGACATAATTTTGTCATGTGACCGTGACATCATCAACGTTTTTTCATGGTTTACTACGGTTTAAAATGGAATTTAGAATTGAACTATAAGAAATGACTAATATTTTTTCTTTGTCTATTCGAAATAACATAAAAAATGTGGTGCACACTTTAAAATAACCCGCTATGCGAGTTATTCAGTGTCACCACATTTTTGATGTTATTTCTTCATAGACAGAAAAAATATTACAGTCATTCCTTAAATATAACTTTATTTCCTCTATGATAGAGATTAAGTGTACATGAAATATATAAATAAAAAAAACAAAGAATATAAGTTACTGTTTCAAGTTAAAGAAGAGAAAACATGACACTGTCTCTAAAGGCGATAACGAACACATATTCTATCTATTGTCAAAATCTCTGCAGATTTTTCAACATGACGAACACAAATCGCGGGTTATTCAGTGTCACCACATTTTTGATGTTATTTCTTCATAGACAGAAAAAATATTACAGTCATTCCTTAAATATAACTTTATTTCCTCTATGATAGAGATTAAGTGTACATGAAATATATAAATTAAAAAAACAAAGAATATAAGTTACTGTTTCAAGTTAAAGAAGAGAAAACACGACACTGTCTATAAAGGCGATAACGAACACATATTCTATCTATTGTCAAAATCTCTGCAGATTTTTCAACATGACGAACACAAATCTTGGAGAAAAAAGTCAACTTGTCATTTTCTAATTCATATGACATATTGTATGAGAGAATGGTCGTCGTGAATTCAGGTGCGGAAAAACTGTCAATAGACACTGAACTGAATTGGATTAACGTTGATTATGTCCTGCCATAGATCATCTCTTTTGTCTTGTATAAAATCACATGATACCAGTAAATGTTCAACAATATTCAAAAAGAACTTGCAACATTTGTCACAAAGTAAATAGATATAAGAAGATGTGGTATGAGTGCCAATGAGACAACTCTCCATCCAAGTCACAATTTGTAAAAGTAAACCATTATAAGTCAAAGTACGCCATCAACACAGAGCCTAGGCTCACACCGAACAGCAAGCTATAAAGGGCCCCAAAAATGACTAGTGTAAAACCATTCAAACAGGAAAACCAATGGTCTAATCTATATAAAAAACGAGAAACGTGAAACACTTATGAACCACATCAACAAACGACAACCACTGAACAACAGGTTCCTGACTTAGGACAGGTACAAACAAATGCAGCGGGTTTAAACGTTTTAATAGGCACCAACTTCATAACGTACTACAGAACATAAGTCAATAACATACTTGGCAGAGGCAAGAAGTTCAGGAAACTGTTAAGCAATTGTCCATGCTTTATGTGGTTTGATTGCAGAATGAATATGTCTAAACATATAAAAGTCATTATGGCATGAAATTCGGTATAACTAGTAATTAACTACCATGTTTCTTCAGTTGCTTTTATTTTCTGGTTTACAATAACTGACCAAAGAAAATATTCTAAAAAAAATTGTTGTTTAATAGCAGCAAATTTTAATCTAGAGACTTTTCATGTATATTTCTAGTAACAAGTCGAGTTATCAAACAAACACTGCAGTCAAATAATAGACAGTTAGCCATGACTCTAGAGAAAACAAGAAAGGATCTCAGAATGGCTAGTAATGTAATCATGGACCAAAAAAGGGAGATAATTGATCTACAGACACAAGTTACTACATACAAACACTTAGCTGGACTTAAACCAGATGAAATAGAGAATGAAGTTAAGATAAGAATGGAGGTATGATATACTATACTCAGTAAACAATGAAGGCCATACCCAAATAAGTTATAACATGAAAGATGATACAATTTGTATTTTAAGATTCCAACAGGAGTTACTTCCTCCTGCTACAAAAGTGATGTCATGTTTAAAGTTACTATGAAAATTTGTTATTTCTAAATTTGTCAAGCAATGATGGCTGACATTTTCTTTGGGTCTGATGCTTATTGTTGTTAGGAACATTCAAATTTACTACATCCTGCCAAATATCATATCATTTTGTGGGTTGTCTATAGCAAAATACAGACCATGCAGTATCTATCCAATGGGAAACCAAGGAAACTCATAGACTTTTGACATTGTTGTGAGCTATGTTTGCAGTACATTTGATACTTTCAAAAAATTCAGTTTCAATTTCAACAAAATAACCCAAATTTATAATTATGATGCCCTGTTTAGTCAAAAACAAGCATTGTACATGTAAGCTATGCTTTATTTTATGACCTTTTCAAAGCCCCCCCCCTTTGCCCCAAATCACCTAAAATGATAATAAAGTGTTATTTTTATTATGCCCCCGCCGTAGCAGAGGGGGCATTACGTGTTACCCTTGTCCGTCCTGTTGGTATGTCCCCAAAATTGGCTTCCATTCTCTAACTTGATTTTGCCTCAACCAAATGTTAAAAAACTTATACACAATGCTTATTACCACAAAACACAGATCAAATTTGAAATTGGGTGGCGTCACTTTTACCGTTCATGAGTTATGCCCCTTATAAATGGAAAAATTGCTAAATCTGTCGTTTCCATTCTCTAACTGTAGTTTGCCTCAATTAAATGTTATAAAACTTATACACAAGGCTTATAATCACAAAACAGTCTTAACTAAGTGAATCCTGCATCTGTATGTGGAAGTTGACACATGCATATTTACATGCGGGGGCGGGGCATCTGTGGCCAAAAACACATTCTCCATTTATTTTTAATTGATTTCCTTTGAATAATTTTGATTCATGTGGACATTTTATCTGCTTACTTTTAGAAATATATATCTGAGTTAAAGACACATCTTGGTAGGATGGGACAGCAGTTGTTTGATGCTACTGCTAGTCTTGGAGAAGCTATGGATTTGTGTATGAACGTTTCTCGGAGGTCAACAGGGTCATGTAGATCTTCATCTATGTGTTTTATCTCAGATGACGATGGAGACTTTCATCATGGACAAATTGTAAGGTATGTGGTAATAAACTGTTAACTACAGCTCACCTGGCAGAATGATCAATGTGAACATTTGTCATAGATTTGAAAAAAAAAATTCTTCAGATGAAACCTCAGCCAAATTGGAAACAGATTCGAAATAAGGGAACACACCACACCCCCTTTTTAGCCCTTGAAACTTGAGAGAAAAAAAGTTTCTTCTTATGCTTAACACTCAGGGACTTTCTTCTGGAAAAATCTTGAATCTCTGTAAAATGCATCCATTGAAAAGTGATTTCTTTTCGGAGACAAATTGAACTCCAGTCCTGGTTGATTACAGGATAATGAAAATATTGTTGCAGAATGAATAATTTAGCAAACGATGTTTGATTCTTTATTGTTTCCACAGATGTGTTTGATTGAGAACAACAGGAAGTGTTGAATCGGGAGGTTGTTTAAATGCAAATCGCAGTCTCTGAATCTTTTATGGAATACGGAATCATTACGAATATTCTGAAATACACAATAAATAAATACTAAGTAAATTGTAATATTTATGTTGATAAATTAGTGCTGAAATAAATATTAATCTCTGCTTATTATATTTGTTGTTTGTTGGTACTCATTGAAACATCCAATCTGGATTATCACACTCTTATTGAATATCAATTAGGAAGTCTTATCATTGTCAAAACAAATCAATTGACAGATTTATTTTGTTCCTTAATCAATTTCGTACAGTTTACAAGATGGCATTGACATGTCTGCAATTATGACTTATATGAAGGTTTTTAAAAAAAAATGTTACAAAGTAAAAACGTGTTAAAATCATCACTTTATTCAACTTTACAACTTTACAACGTAAAAAGTCACATGACATGTGATCACCTGATACCACGAAAGTATGAAAACAATGGTGGTCGCTATCATCAAATGGGCATGTTTTATTCAATTTTCATACATTTACCTTCTGTATTCCTTGTTAGAACACATATACAAAGTAAGTAATAAACTCGAGAAATACCTACACTAATTTGAACATTGACAGAATCCTTCATCTCTAATTTGGACATGATCAAATGCAACTTCCGGGAGGCAACGGAGAACACAAGAAAATGCTAAAAACAACTATTAAAGCATTTAAATGATTTTATTTGCATATAATATTATAAATCAGATACAAGAAGGTACAAATATACACGCATCCCCTTTTCAGAAATCAAATCCAGGATAAAAACCTGCGTACTATACACAACAAAAGACGGTAGATATTAGTCAATGATCTTTCTTACGAGGCCGTTGGTGTCGCTATGAAAAAGGATACTGTACACAATAAATAAATTATATATACGCCTAAAAAGTGTACAAAGCAACACAAAAATGGAAAAAACATCCCAAAACACAAGTATCAATAAATATTTCGAATAACAGATATCCTTCATTAGTATGATTTTAAATGAATCTTATCTATCTATTCTGACTTTCTTAAAACAATCTCAAATGTAATACAAATAAAAAACTCAACCAAGCTTTTATAATTCTAAAATCTCAAACTTCATGCAAATTTAGTATTTACAATTACAAAGGAGGTTGCATATTTATGCATCCAAAATGAACCTAACACATTTAGCTGCGGTAGTTAGCCAGTGTTTTTAATTTTCTTATCAAAAATCTTTTCCGAGTGATTCTTTCCTCATTGGATCAAGCAATATGGTCAATGATGGTAATAGTCAGTAGATTCAGATCTGCTTTAGTGTGTTCAAAGGATCTCAAATGTCGACTGAGAGGAAGGTCTGGCTTACATTCATAGTCACTACCAAGGCCGTTCATACGCTTGTAAAATGGCTATTCTAACTCACCAACATCTGGTTGCATATGAGACCAGTCTTAACTTTTTAGCTCACCTGACCTGAAAGGTCAAGTGAGCTTTTCTCATCACTTTGCGTCCGTCGTCCGTCGTCCTGCGTCTGTCGTCCGTCGTCCGTCGTCCGTAAACTTTTACAAAAATCTTCTCCTCTGAAACTACTGGGCCAAATTTGACCAAACTTGGCCACAATCATCATTGGGGTATCTAGTTTAAAAAATGTGTCCGGTGACCCGGCCAACCAACCAAGATGGCCGCCATGGCTAAAAATAGAACATAGGGGTAAAATGTAGATTTTGGCATATATCTCTGAAACCAAAGCATTTAGAGCAAATCTGACATGGGGTAAAATTGTTTATCAGGTCAAGATCTATATGCCCTGAAATTTTCAGATGAATCGGACAACCCGTTGTTGGGTTGCTGCCCCTGAATTGGTAATTTTAAGGAAACTTTGCCATTTTGGTTATTATCTTGAATATTATTATAGATAGAGATAAACTGTAAACAGCAATAATGTTCAGCAAAGTAAGATCTACAAATAAGTCAACATGACCAAAATGGTCAGTTGACCCCTTAAGTAGTTATTGCCCTTTATAGTCAATTTTTAACCATTTTTCGTAAATTTTTGTAATCTTTTACAAAAATCTTCTCCTCTGAAACTACTAAGACAAATTTAACCAAACTTGTCAACAATCATCATTAGAGTATCTAGTTTAAAAAATGTGTCCGATGACCCCGCCTGCGAACCAAGATGGCCAACATGGCTAAAAAAAATAGTACATAGGGTAAAATGCAGTTTTTGGCTCATATCTCTGAAACCAAAGCATTTAGAGCAAATCTGATGAGGATAAAATTGTTCATTAGGTCAAGATCTATCTGCCCTGAAATTTTCAGATCAATCAGTCAACCCGTTGTTGGGTTGCTGCCCCTGAATTGGTAATTTTAAGGAAATTTTGCCGTTTTTGGTTATTATCTTGAATATTATTATAGATAGAGATAAACTGTAAACAGCAATAATGTTCAGCAAAGTAAGATCTACAAATAAGTCAACATGACCAAAATGGTCAGTTGACCCCTTAAGGAGTTATTGCCCTTTATAGTCAATTTTTAACCATTTTTCGTAAATTTTTGTAATCTTTTACAAAAATCTTCTCCTCTATAACTACTAAGACAAATTTAACCAAACTTGTCCACAATCATCATTAGGGTATCTAGATTAAAAAATGTGTCGGATGACCCCGCCCGCGAACCAAGATGGCCGATATGGCTAAAAAATAGTACATAGGGTAAAATGCAGTTTTTGGCTCATATCTCTGAAACCAAAGCATTTAGAGCAAATCTGATGAGGATAAAATTGTTCATTAGGTCAAGATCTATCTGCCCTGAAATTTTCAGACCAATCAGGCAACATGTTGTTGGGTTGCTGCCCCTGAATTGGTAATTTTAAGCTAATTTTGCCGTTTTTGGTTATTATCTTGAATATTATTATAGATAGAGATAATCTGTAAACAGCAATAATGTTCAGCAAAGTAAGATCTAACAATAAGTCAACATGACCAAAATGGTCAGTTGACCCCTTAAGGAGTTATTGCCCTTTATAGTCAATTTTTAACCATTTTTCGTAAATTTTTGTAATTTTTTACAAAATTCTTCTCCTCTGAAACTACTAAGACAAATTTAACCAAACTTGTCCACAATCATCATTAGGGTATCTAGTTTAAAAAATGTGTCCGATGACCCCGCTCGCGTACCAAGATGGCCGACATGGCTAAAAAATAGTACATAGGGTAAAATGCAGTTTTTGGCTCATATCTCTGAAACCAAAGCATTTAGAGCAAATCTGATGAGGATAAAATTGTTCATTAGGTCAAGATCTATCTGCCCTGAAATTTTCAGACCAATCAGGCAACACGTTGTTGGGTTGCTGCCCCTGAATTGGTAATTTTAAGAAAATTTTGCAGCTTTTGGTTATTATCTTGAATATTATTATAGATAGAGATAAACTGTAAACAGCAATAATGTACAGCAAAGTTAGATCTACAAATAAGGCAACATGACCAAAATTGTCAATTGACCCCTTAAGGAGTTATTGCCCTTTATAATCAATTTTTTACAATTTTCATAAATTTTGTAAATTTTTGTAAATTTTTACAAAGTATTTTCCACTGTAATTACCGGGCCAAGTTCATTATAGATAGAGATAGTAGTAAGGAGCAAGAATGTTCAGTAAAGTAAGATCTACAAACACATCACCATCACCAAAACACAATTTTGTCATGAATCCATCTGTGTCCTTTGTTTAATATGCACATAGACCAAGGTGAGCGACACAGGCTCTTTAGAGCCTCTAGTTTTATTATGGCAGTTGGCAAACTACATGCATATCAACATCTCTTTGGTGAGTAAAGAATTCTGACATTGTAAAAAAACAAACTATAAATTAATTAAACACATGTTTTTTTCAGGGCACCATTGCACCATACCAAGGTTTTAATGACTGACTCACCTACAAGAGCATTGCCACAGAGAGTGGCTAGACTAGACATGAGTGTTATTACAGAGCAGTCTATATTGATTGATGATATCTCACAGCCTGATGAACTGATGGAATTACCTGTAGAGGAAGGTTTGTCTGTGGCATATTCCTCTGTTTTTTCATCAGCTTGTTCATGAAGTTTCTTTGACTTAACTTTTCATTTAAAAATCAAATTGCAGACTGTCACCTATTTGAATACGATGTGTATTATTTTAGATATTTTTGCCTTTGTATACTAGTATATATTTACAAGAGGGATGTCCATGAGTACTTGAATACGCCAGTATCGCTTGTTAGTAAAGAGTATTGAATACCAAAATGATAATTGACTAATCGCTTTCCTGTTAGGACATTGTCCTTTTCTTTTCATAAAATTCGTTTTCTTGCTAACAACCCTCTGGAGAATTTAATAGTGACCACCTATTAATCGTAGTAAAAATATGTTTCTAGTTTGTGCTAATCTGACGTTTAAAATGTCTCTGAAATCTTCATTTGGAAATACTTACGAATTGAAGTCTTGAGATATATCTTTTAAAGTGGTGGGCTACAACCAAGAGGAGCTTTCCTATACCTACATTTTTGACTTAAAGAGTCTAAGCCAAACCAGCCACATTGGTACAGTCAGATAAAATAGTTTTGTCTACTGGGTTGTAAGTTACAAAGTTGGGGAATCAACTCTTCCCTAAAATAGTTGACAAATTAATGCTTTTTAATAAAAACAAATCTGTCACTCCCTGTGGTGACCTCAGTAATTGGTTAAACACATCAGTGTCTTCTTATCCTTAAGCATTTGTTAACAGGGTTTAAGCTAGGATTTTGAGGGCTTTAGTCACTTTTGCGCGGGATGAAAGTCAACCTTATTTTGGGTAGCAGCAAGGGACCTAGGATGTATATTACTATCTATACATCTTTGTCAGACTTTGAAGGACTTAGGCATACTAGGCAGTTACTGCATGATTTGACTGATATGGCACTTTAATACGAAGATAAGGATAAAAGATCTAGAAATCTAGTTCACAATTTCACTTCAGTTAGTTTCAGGGTACATTCCTAATCAGCAAAAGTTGGGATTCATTTTTAGCTCACCTGGCCCGAAGGGCCAAGTGAGCTTTTCTCATCACTTGGCGTCCGTCGTCGGCGTTAACTTTTTACATTTTGAACTTCTTCTAGAGAACAACTGAATGGAATGAAACCAAACATGGCATGAATGTTTCTTATGAGGTGCTGACCGAGTGTTGTTACTTTGAAGCCGATCCATAATCCAAGATGGCCGCCAGCGGGGGACTTAGTTTAACATAGGACCCTATGGGAAATACATACAAATGTTTTCTTTTAGAGAACCACTGAATGGAATGAAACCAAACATGGTATGAATGTTCCTTATGAGGTGCTGACTACGTGTTGTTACTTTGAAGCCGATCCATAATCCAAGATGGCCGCCAGCGGGGGACTTAGTTTAGCATGGGACCCTATGGGAAATACATACAAATGTTTTCTTTTAGAGAACCACTGAATGGAATGAAACCAAACATGGCATGAATGTTCCTTATGAGGTGCTGACCAATTGTTGTTACTATGAAGCCGATCCATAATCCAAGATGGCCGCCAGCAGGGGACTTAGTTTAACATTGGACCCTATGGGAAATACATACAAATGTCTTCTTTTAGAGAACCACTGAATGGAATGAAACCAAACATGGCATGAATGTTTCTTATGAGGTGCTGACCAAGTGTTGTTATTTTGAAGCCGATCCATAATCCAAGATGGCCGTCAGCAGGGGACTTAGTTTAACATGGGACCCTATGAGAAATACATACAAATGTCTTCTTTTAGAAAACCACTGAATGGAATGAAACCAGACATGGCATGAATATTCCTTATGAGGTGCTGACCAAGTGTTGTTACTTTGAAGATGATCCATCATCCAAGATGGCCGCCAGCGGGGGACTTAATATAAAATAGGAGCCTATGGGAAGTACATACAAATGTCTTCTTTTAGAGAACCACTGAATGCAATGAAACCAAACATGGCATGAATGTTCCTTATGAGGTGCTGACCAAGTGTTGTAACTATGAAGCCGATCCATAATCTAAGATGGCCGCCAGCGGAGGACTTAGTTTAACATAGGACCCTATGAGAAATACGTGCAAATGTTTTCTTTTAGAGAACCATTGAATGGAATGAAACCAAACATGGCATGCATGTTTCTTTTGAGGTGCTGACCAAGTGTTGTTATTTGGAGCTGATCGTTCATCCATGATGGCTGCCAGATGGGGACAATGTTGAACAAAAGACCCTATGGACAATACATACAAATGTCTTCTTTTAGAGAACCACATACTGAATGGATTGAAACCAAACATGGCATGAATGTTCCTTATGAGGTGCTGACTAAGTTTTGTTACTTTGAAGCTGATTCTTCATCCATGATGGCCGCCAATGGGGGGACTTCCTTTAACATAAGACCCTATGGGAAATACATACAAATGCTTCTTCTAGAGGTGCACTGAATGGAATGAAACCAAAACATGGCATAAATGTTTCTTATGAGGTGCTGATTAAGTGTTGCTACTTTGTTGCCGATTTACTGTTCAAGATGGCCACCAGAATTTTTTATTAAATTACAGGACCAATATTAAACCAAATTTGGCCTCACTCATTATTAGGGTATCTGTTATGATTTTAATCTATTTTTACATGATTTCCAAAACCAAAGTAGAATCAGGTGAGCGACACAGGCTCTTGAGAGCCTCTAGTTTTTTAAACCAGTAATCACAGCATAAATGAACTTGTAAGGACTATTTCACTGCATTATTCATACTCATTATCCTTAAAAACGTTTTAAAGCGATATTTAGAATTAATTCTATAAAGTTGGAACCAAGGATTTGTACAAATCCTTATTGGAACAATTCTAATGACTTTAAATTGTAAATTTATCATGAATAGATCACGTTTACTTTCGATTTCCAAATGAAATGAAAACGGGAAGTGACAAGTGGATAATAAATTCAGAATGAATCTGGATTCATCTACGGATTGGTTCGTGTTTAAAAAAAGGCAGGGAATTATCATTTTTTAAATTAAATTTGCTAAATAAGAACTATATTTGTCTCTCTCTCGTTTAGTTTTGATACTTAATTATTTCGCATTTTACGTTTTAGTGTCTTTAAATTCATAAGAATACTTTTGCGCATGTGCAGTTCATCGTAAAGGAAGCACTGAACATTTCTGAATGTATGAATAAAGACAATAATAAGACAAGCGAACTGCAAATTGTGGTCGTTTGAGAAATATTGAAATTAAAATGCGAACTGTCCGATGGAAAACTCAAATGACGAAACTACGACAAACGAACTGCAAATTGTGCTCGTTTGATAAATATTGAAATTGAAATGCCGACTGACTGATTTTACTGGGGAAAATAATTATGATGATCAATTATGAGGTTGATAAATAATTAACGGATAAGTGACCCATCCGATGGCGATAAGTGGATTATCTGTAATCACAACTTATAACACCTGTTGTAAATGTTAATTAGCTGAGGGTCATAAACTTGTCAGAAACAATAAGACAGGTAGAATTATAGTATTTTCATTGCTCTTAATAAAGGTACAATAGATTGTCATATTCCCCTATATAAGGAAGACATCAAATGTTTAACAAAAAACATTTTAAAACAAATTTGGCAAAAACAGTGGTCAGACAACCCAAAGGGAAGATTACTACACTCCTTCCAAAATAATGTATCTTTTAAGATTACTATTCCACAAATGAATAGAGAAAATGAACAAATAATATTCAGATTAAGATCTGGCTCTATAAATGTCAATAAATATCTTCACAAAATAGGGAAAAGCCCGAGTGAAATTTGTGAAAACTGCAAAGTCACAGACGATGTTGTACACTTTCTTTTAGTCTGCTCAAAATATGATGTGCAACGAAAACAGATGTTTGATACGCTTAAAAAAAATGGAGTCATAGATCTCTCATTGAAACACCTTCTATCCGGATACACACACACTTTTAGTCCCGTGCATAACTATCTACGGGAAACTAATATACTTATAAGAAAATAGGAAGACTCTCAACTATAAGTGTCATTTAGCTTTAGTTTAGATATTATAAAATAAATAATTATGTATTTGGAACCAGTGTATATGAACTATTTCTCAGATGGTCCCTCAAGTTAAATTATTTCATCAAGTTATACAACCAGCAAGATTAAAAATAAAAGAAAAACTCACCCGAATATAAAATCATTTCCTTTTTTAATATCCATAGAATAATGATAAGTAAGTCACAAGTGCAATGCACACTTCACCTTTGTGTCAGTCCATTGAGCGTAATCAAACAGACTTTTTTCTACCTGTGTCATACATCAGTAAATCAATCACCTTTCAAACACCAGTACTAATTGACCATGAAATGCATGCAATTAATTTTAACAAGTATCAACATTCAATTTAAACACTCTGATCTATTGAAGATTAGTACACTAGAAAAGTTAACATTATATATTAAGGGAAAATACAACATCACCTTAAGATTCTCTATAATGGACAATTAGAAATTAAGAAATAAAAACAACAAACACAACACACTGTGCTCATATATTTAACAATAGAAACATTTGCTACAGGCTTCTTTTTTTTATGAAAGTGCCACTAACATTTATCTTAATGTTAAAAGATTAAAGGAAAAGCAAGAACAAAGGAAAATACAATTTGTCTTTTCAGATCTTCACAAACTGACAATTATAGTCATATTATTAGAAAATAAGAAAAACAAACAAACACAATCATTAAGCTCATATATTTTTTAGAATAGAAACAAGTGCTAAATCCTTTTCTATGACAATAAAATGAAAAAAACTTAAATCTGTACTAGAGGATGCATATGTCAGTTAGACAAACACACACAGATTATTGTATATATATATGCACATCCCAGCACTTCTGTTTCGCTGACATTCTCTGTACTTACAACAAATTCAAACAATTGCATTGTTTTAATAATATACTGGTATTATTTTTTTTCATATTTTTCTATTTTTACTCCATTTATATATTACATACATACATATATATATATATATATCTATCTAAATAGGCGATTAAGGGTGTAGGTAGGGGTGATTTCTCATTCAATGACAGAAGTGTTTTTTTTCTCGTCAGGGAAGGAGGAATCACTAAATACCAGTATGTCTTTGGAAATTTATTTGGAAAAATTAACGCAACTTGCCGTTATGGAAAAGGAAAAACTACAATCAATCCTTACTTAAGGATTCTTTATTTGCTACATCAATCGTGGGAGACGTCCTTACATTGGTAGCATTTAACTAGCACATGTCTTGTTTTATGTTTCTAAATATACTTTTTTTTATAAGCATATCACAGAGGACACAAAGGTGAACAACCAGATGAAATTTCTAAACAATTTTATGATACCTATCAATTAATAATGTACATTTCATTAGGAAGTATCATTTGCTTTTTTTTCTCTCTCATTTTCCTATTACATGTACCTTCTGTTATGTGTTTTTTTTTCTCTCTACATATAAATACTTTATTGTAGCACAGTCAACCATATTGTCAAAGTTTTATATAAATCTCGCCATAACGTAATACTAAAAATGAATTCAGGAATGAAAGTATATATATACATAATATTTATGTTATATGAATTTAAGGCGCAATTACTACATAAGTAAGCCGCCTACCAAAACCAATAACAAGAACAATTTTCATGCGAAAATATTTTTACTCTTTCCAAATTTAAGTGACGAAATTGATATGGAATACTTTCGTCATTTTGAAAACCGTTTCGTAAATGACGAAAATGACGAGCGCTAGCAAAATCACTGTTTGTTAATGTGTTTTCTTTATAATAATAAAATGTAACTGTAGTTCCATCAGATTTTACTTTGTAATCATTAATATTCAGTTGGTGTTTATTAGATATTGATAAGATTGTTGTTTACTTAATGAGTTCATGTTGTAACGAATTATTAATTATAGTATCTAGTCAAAGATGATAATTTTCAGGCTTTATTATGCATTAGACAACGACCAACAAAGAAAGGGTAATTTTGTTTCAATATTATTATATAGATATTTTTCTGATCGAGTACTCAAGTATCATTTGGTAAAACAAATGAGTACTTGATTATTAATTCTTCAATGACTTGACATCCCTAATTTATAAATTTGTTCCTTTTTTTTACTTGAAATTATGATTCTCAAAGATTTACAGTTGAAACTTATTCCCTTCAAAATTCAAATTTGAAAGAAGGTTTACTCATGTTCTTACCTTGGATGAGTTTTATTATTTGAAAATTTAAAATAGGCAACATTTTCATTATAGAAGGACTTCAATCTTTTCATTTATCTAAAACTGTGTGATATTTAATTTCACATTAAGATTCTCTTAATATTTTATTTCTATAATGTGCAGGTATACAGGAAGAAGTTTTAGAGGAGGAAAAACAAAATGCATTCGGAATAGTAGATAATGAGGTTTTACATGCAAAAACAAGAAGTAAAAAGAGAAAGCAGACAAATACTGAGAAAGAGAGCCAGCAATCTGAAGAGGTTCATTTATCAGAGAATATAGATGGTCAGAAAAATAACATACAACTGGAAGATAAACAAACAAACATAGAAATTACTGAACAGCAAACCCAGGATAAAAGTTCAGAACATGAAGGGAAAAAGAAAAAACGAAATCAATCTGGAAATTCAACTGAGTCAACTACATTAGACAAAGTGAAAGATGATCAATCTAAAAAGGTTTCAAAAAAGAAAGAAAAAAACTCAACTAAGAATAATGAAACACAACCAAGTAAAAAAGATAGAAGAGGAACATTTGTTGTGCCAAATCCTGAGAATAGTACAAATATGACTGACAAAGTAGAATCAGAAGACAATGATAAAAATAGAAGAGGAACATTTGTAGTACCTTCTGGTACCATGCAGAACCTCATCCAGTCAAAGGATAGAAGAGAAACTTTTGTTGTGTCAGAAAGTAATCAACAGCTACTTGCTACAAAGTCACAGGAAAATATTTCATTGAAAAAAGAAACTTTGTTACCAAAATCCTCAAAATCTGATACTTCTGTAAACTCTAAGGAAGACAAAAGAAAGACATTTTTAGTTCCATCATCTAAAGACACATTTTTACTGCCTGTTGCTTTGAAAAAACCAACACCTCAAAATTTTGGGGAGACAGATGTTACAGAATATTTTAATAGTGACATGGATTTTACTGAAATCATCGATAATTCTAAAGGAATTATTCTGGAAACTTCTGATACAACAGCAGATAATCAGAAAATGGTAAAATCTACTAAAGATTCTGATAAAATAGGCAAGGCTTCTGTACAAGTTGACAAAATGGTTAAAAATGATATCAATAAGAATGGGAAACAGCCGGAGGTTGTCAATGACAACTTAAAAGACAAAAGTAAAATAGAAGATAAAAAGAATGAAGAACACCAATCAGCTGTTGAATTTAGACTTCCAAAACCAGGAAAAATTGTATTCGCAGCATCTAGAAAAATGTTTGATGGAACTAGAGAACGTGTACCAAGCAAGCTACCACAAAGATCTCGCTCTAAAACTAAAATCAAGCTTACTCAACATCAAACTGATGATAGTAACGTTAAGTCTATATTTGATTTCCATGAAAGGACACCAACTGTTCTGAAACAAGCATCTTCTGTATATGATATGTCTATGGATGTGTCTGTTCATGGAGAAAAGGAATCATATGGGACATTCAGGGACAAACTAAACAATCAGACCACTGACAGCCAAATAGATGATCATAAAATTCAGTTCGCCCATACAAATAATGCCAAATTACAATCTGACCAAACAGATAATCAGGAATTACAGTCTGACCAGAACAAAAAATCAGCTACAGGAGAAAAAAAGATGAATAACAAAGAGTCCAATGGAAAAGGTGAAATTATATATAATCTGCCTTTAAAGGGTTGTTCTCCAGACATCCCAAAGAAAACTTCAAGGTCTAGGTCTAAAAGTAAAGGCAGTGCACAAGAAAGAGAGAGAAGTGAGTCAAGAGGAAGGAGTAGGTCTCGTGGTAAGAGAATCACAGTAGTGAATCAGGATGTGGATGAAGGACAGTCTGTTTTAAGGAATGAATCTCAGAAAAGAAAGTCGGGAGAAAAGGCAAGTGAAAATGAAGATATTGATGCTGAAATCTCTGTAAATTCTAAGTCACCTGTAAAAAAATTCCCTCAAAAGAAAAATGATGAAGGTGGTATTGAAGATGAACGGCCAACTGAATCAAGAAGTCGCTCTCGTGGTAGAGGTAGACCTAAGAAAAATAATTATGAAATCGTAGAAAATATTAAACAGACTACAACATGGAGTAAATCACGTGGCAGGAGTAAAGCAAGGAAGAAGGAAAACGAGGCATGTAACAAAGATCATGTGATAGAAAGTCAAACAAAGGAAGAAAAAAGAAGTAGATCTAGAGGAAGATCAAGGACACGAAAAAATGATGAGTTAAAGGAACAGGATTTAGGGGAACCTGAGTTCATACCTTCGAAAACAATAACACGAAGTAAATCTAGAGGTAGATTAAGGTCAGAAGCCTTGTCTGAAGTTATTGGTAATTTGGAATCTGATAAGGAAGAAACCATATCCCTGGAGCCAGATATACTGTCAAATGCTGATATTCCAGACTCAAACAAAATTTCAGCTAATTCTAATGCAGTTGACAAAGAAAAGTTAAAAAATTCAAGATCAAATATTCAGAAATCAAGGTCGTGTGGATCAGGACTGAAAGAAAGTCAAGGAGTTGACAATGTAAAGCTTGAATCAAACTATCAAACAGGACGTTCAAAATCATACATAGCACCCAAAACTGATCTAAGTGATGAGGAGGACTTTCAAACTTCTGAAAAGCTAAAGAAAAAATCAAGGACAAAATCTAAATCAAGTAAAGATGAAGATCATCCTTTAGATAAATTATTCAAAAGTGCAAGGAAAAAGAGTTTCCCTGACAAGAACTTCCCTTGTGAAAATGCAGAAAACAAAGACATTGTAGAAACAACAGTTTTCTCTGGAAGCAAAAAGGAAACTTTTCATGAAATTTGTGAAACCCCATTGAAGCCTAGAGATGAAATAATCAAAGACAATAGTGGAAATGAAGAAGAAATCTTAATAGATGAATCCCCTGTAAAAATTGATTTGATGTGTGTTACAAAGAGGTCAAGATCTAGAAGTCATAAACTGGACAGAAATCAAGACTTAGTAACAAAAGAACAGGAGCATGTTCCAGATAAGTGCTTAGAACAAGTGACAGAGAAACAAATATCAAAAACATTAAACATTGATAACGAATCAAAAAAAGAACACATCCCATTAGATATTGTCTTAAAGGAAGGAAAAGGGAAGAGGCGCCACGACTCTTCATCAGAAGTTAGATCAGAGAAAAAGAAAAAGGCAAAGAAAGAAGACAAAGAGGTGATTTTAAAATTAACTTTGGAAAAAAGTGGGATTTTCATTTTACTATGAAAGCGTTTTGTCAATTTTTAGTGTTTGTTGACAAGGATATTAAAGTAATCAAATCTAACTTCAAATTGAACATTGTTAAATATTAACATGATTAAAGTATATATACATATGCATAAAAAAATTTCAACAATCTTAATTTGTATTTTGAATGTTTTAACATTTAACTCTCTTTTATATGAAAAATCTTTTATCTATCTTTTGTATGGAAGATAAGTTAAAACACCATATCATTCATTGACATCCATTACAGCTATAAAACGTGTTCTGTAACAAGACTCTTAGAGTCTAGATACATTTGTAAATGTAGGTTAAAAAGGTAATACATTATGTTATATGATATAGAATTATTTCTGTGATAATGATGATGGCACTACTAACAACTGTAAGATTCACTAGAACATGTAAAAGCAGAGAGGGAGTTTATTTCATTATCATTATTATTGGACATTTTATTTGAATCATGATGTTGGAAAACCAAGGAATAATACTGTAATCTTTTTTTTTACATATCCTTTTCTCATGTTTCTATTGGTTTAACTTGACAACTATAATTTCAGAATACTGGAACTGGTACATCAAGTAGTTTGAGTTTATTAAAAAAGAGACTGGCATCACTTGGTCCTAAAATGAAACCTGAAAATATGGAGTCACCAATAAAAGTAGACAATATTGACAAACTGGAGTCCAAAAATGTTCATAGTCCAGCTCTTGTTTTAAAGAAACCAGATGAAAATATAAGTCCTAATGTATTATCAAATGAATCTGAGGAATTCAAGAACAATAGATCATTCAATGAAGATGGTGTTGTTACTCCTAATGCAGAGTAAGTTACTAAAATTAAGATTAAAGTTTGTCTGACCAATCTACTGCTGCAAAGCCTTAAAATCTCATTGGCCTTAAGCCAGTCAGGGATATAACTCTATAGGGTTATTACAGAAAATAACTTGCATGTGTTATTACAGATACTTTCATGAGTTGTCTACTCTTTAATCCTTAAATTTTCTAAATATGTAATAACATATGTTTGTTATTTGTAAAATAAATCATAAATATTTTGATTTTTAGTAGGCTCTAGGGACCTCTTGAAACTTTGCGCAGAAACTAAATGCATAGCCTTGATAACTAATTTTTGAATTAAATTAATACATTTTTCATTAACCATGGTAAATCAATGAGACGAGGCTTTTAAGGGATAAACTTAGCTGTAATAACAAGGCTATAGTTATTAAAGGCATTTAACTTATTATATAAGACACTTGGGAACTACTGGGAAGCTTGCGCAGAACCTCATTACATGCTCTGATCATTATTTCTTACAATAAAGTAAAATACTTTGTAATTAAGCATGATGAATGTTAGTTATTATAGGCATTTTTTTCTGTAATAACATAGGTGTACTATGCATGATTGGCAAGCTATGAACTGTTATATCTTTCTATAGTTAAGTATACATAAAGACAATAGTAATATCAATAAAACCTGTATACATTTTAACAAAACTAATGATGTATATTGTCCCTTTGAAACATGTAACATACATATGTTATCACAGTTCTTTGATTTTTTAGTCCACAATAACAAATGTATGTTTTTTTCTGTAATAACCCTATAGAGTTATATCCTTGACTGTAAGTATGTTAATCTTATTCTTCCAAGAATTGCTTATGTGTAGTTCTGTGTTCTAAAATTTTTGATATAAAAATTAAAATAAAGATTCTTCAAATCAACTACATTTTTTTCATTGTCAGTTTTCCACTAGCCTTTAAAATTTATAAATAACTGAGAAATGCTTTTGTCTGATACAGGAATGTACTGGAAGAACCAAGGTCTAGAAGAAGAGCTGCAAATGTTTGCTATAAAGAAAAGCCTTTACATGCGTAAGTAATCTTAATTAACAATTTTGTAAGCATTGTAAGGCAGACCTTGACCTCATTTCAATCATGGATCATTGATCAAGTTTTTTACGTTAAGTCCATAGCTCAGATACTATAAGCAGTAGATCAACTATATTTGGTTTATGGAATGGTTGTTAGCAGGTTGCACATGTCTATCTTGCAGGGTTCAATAAAAATAAAACAAAATATATGATTATTGGAACAAAGCAAAAAGCAATGCCACATTACAATGAGAGTTGTTTAACTATTAACAATCAAGTGATACAATCTTCCACATGAGAAAGTCTCTTAGGCATTAAAATTGACCCTTCCCTCACATGGACAAACCAAATTGATGTGATCTGCTAAAAAATTTCATCTAGGCTATATCTAATATTAAAGATTAAGAAATTTCTAAATCTTGACTGCAGAAAATTATTCTATAATGGTTATATCTTGCCACTAATTGATTATTGTTGTATAGTGTGGAGTAGTTGTAGCAGTGAGGGTTTAAAAAGGATATTAAAATTACAAAAGTGAGCTGATAGATTAATACTAGAAACAGACCCTTTCGCTCCTTCTGAGCCCTTATTCAAACACTTAAACTGGATGACAGTTGAACAGAGAATAAAATATCACAAGTTTGTGATGACATTTAAGTGCTTAAAAAATGACGCACCATCATATCTTACTAACAAGTTTCATTATGTTTCAGACAGAAATCCATACCCCTTGAGAAATGCTATTCAAGGAAACCTCGTACTCCCTAAACCAAAAACAGAATTGTTCAAAAAATCTTTTATGTATTCTGGACCATTCTTGTGGAATAATTTGCTAATACCGTTAAGAAATATTACAAATGTTAATTCTTTTAAATACAAAATAACAGATCATTTATTGAAATCAACCTAGCTGTATAAAAAATATTGAAAACTGATTATGTCATCACGTTTATTTTTTCATATCATTTTATCAAGTTGTATTGAACATTATTATCATACTAGTCTTTTTATACTAATGTATGCAATGTATATGTTTGATTTTGTTTTATTTTTATGATGAGGGCCTCAGGGAAGATTAGTTATATAGCTAACTGTGTAACCCTCTTAAAATAAAGTATTGTTGTTGTTGTTGTTGTTCATTTGACCTTGACCTCTTCATTGTTCATAGGTCAATTTCAAAATTGTTGGTTAGGTCTGTTTCTCAGATACTACAAAGACTAGGTGAACTATATTTGATTGACCAGAATATGCATGAAATAATTGCCGCTAAGCTTCATTTAAGTAACAATAACTAATAGGTGTATGAAATTATTGTTTATAGGTGTGTATATCAGTTTGACATTTTCATCTGACCTTGAACTTATTTTCATGGTTTGTTGGTCAGCCTTAAGTTTTTTTAGGTAGGTCTGTTTCTCAGATACTATAAATAACTATCAACAATATAAGGTGTATGGAATGATTGTAAGATAAATATGTCCTAAAAGGATTAATCTGATCTTTACATGTTTTCATGGATCATTGATAATGTGAAGTTTATGTGACAGCTCTTGCAAAACTGTTATCGTAAAGACTTAACATAAAATTCAATCATGATCAATTAAGTAGGCAAGACATTTCAGTGTGTGCACTCTAGTTGTGGTTAGGTTTGTTTCCAATATACTTTATGCAGTAGGTCAACTTTATTTGGTGTATGGAATGATTGTAAGTTGTATATGTTTGTCTGGCAGTGTTTACCCTACCTTGACCTCAGTTTCATGGTTCATATGTGCACATAAAGTTTTAGTTGTGAGGTTCGTTTCTCATTTATGATAAGCTATAGGTTAACCTATTTTTGGTGTATAGGATGATTTTGGTCTGACATGGTTCATTAACTTCTTATCTACCACAGGTACCTTAAAAGTTCACTACTACAGACTGCTGATTAGTTAGCTACTGCAGCTGAATTGTAGGTTAACTACCAGCGATAATTTGCAGTGAGAGAATTTTTGACAAATGGTTAAGGCTCTAATTAAATGTTTAATTAATCAGTATTTATTGTATATTAATTGAAAAATGAAACAATATACCAAATCAATTTCTTTCTTTTCATTATCAAGCTTGAAAGCTGCCGTAAACGGACGTCAAAAGTTTCAAATTATTTGTCCATGTTTCCGATTGTTTGGCTTCTTCATCCTCGGAAGACTTGCAATCTTGTTCCGACAAGCTAAATTATCCCTTCCTATACTTCCAATTTTGCTTTCTAATTGCACAAATAATTCAAATTCTTCTCTTTCGCTATACGATTTGAACAAAGAAGCCCATTCATCCACCATTGTTTTAATCGCATTCCGAACACGTGTAAAATTCATCATAATTAAATGTAAACACACACTGTTTACAGAAAAGGAATGTACGAGTTGAAAGATTATTCATTTGTAAAACCGAATTTCATTGGTTTATTTCGGGATTCCCCATCAGTTTTGTCCAATCTAAAGGGTTTGAACAGTGGTATATTTTATGGAAATATCCGTCACCGGGACTGCGCAAGTGTATGTTTACAGCGGATCTATCAGTCACTGCAAATACACGCTTGATTATGCAAGCGGATTTATCAGTCACTGCGGACAGAACGATGATAAAAACCGTGTATATATCCGTCAGTGGTAGATAAAGAGTTAATCCATGTTTATTTTTCATTATTAGGTCCCTATCTTGGATATTATAAGCAGAAGGCAACTATATTTGGTGTATGGAATGATTGTAAGGTTCATGCTAGTGAAAAGTCTGGGATTGTTCATCTGACCTTGACCTCATTTTCATGGTTTATTTGTCAACTTGGATTTTTTGTTTGTTGTTAGGTCCTTTTCTCAGATGCTGTAAGCAATAGGCCAACTATATTTTGGTCTAGATGGTGATTGTAAGATGTACATGTCCATCTGGAAGGGGTTCATCTGACCTTGACAGGAATTTCATGGATCTTTGATAATGTTAAGTAAAGGTACCTGTAAACTGCTAACATAACATTCAATCTTTTTCAGTAAACCATGCAAGGCATTTCAGCGTGTACACTCTTCTTTATAAATATTGTTAAAATACGCTTATATCTATTTGTTTGTTCAATTTCAGGAAACTTAGACGAGAAGATGTCTTGGCTGGCAAAAAATTGATTGGGTATGAAAACTAAGTTAACAGTAATCTTGCAATATATAATCTTCAGGTCGAATTATGTATGAAAATAAGTTGTTTACCAGCTAATGAAACTTCTATAAATTACAGAGACTAACTGGAGGAGAAACCTCCTACAGGTCATTATAAAACCTTAAAATAGAGGCAAAGATATGAAACAGTATGTTATAAAAGGCTTTTGTTCAAACAATCAGTGCTTGTGAGCACTGAAGGGTTAAGATTGTTTTCATTTTTGCAATGTGAACTTAAAATATATTGAGCAATTGAATAGGAGCTGTCGTCTTTTGTCTTTTGTCCCTAATTGCAGTTGAACATATTTTGGGATCAGATAGATTCATACACCATTCAAATTATGAAATTCTTAAGGAAAAATATGGTTAGTTAACTGATTTGACAACAATGCAGTGAAAACATGTGAAATATTCAAAACACAAAGCTATTGTTTTATGTTCACATACAAACATGGTAATAAGAACTTTGGTCCAGCATTTGTACCATATATTTTGAGACTCAACAGACTTTAGAATAGGCATTTGCATTCCTATTTTACTATTTACAATAGCTGAGGATGCATAGGTAACTAATAAAAGGAGATTAGAGGGATACATTAATGACATAGCAACCCAACAACACAAAAAGACAATAGACAATAGACAATAGACAAGACACGTGTCTATACAATGTTAAGCACTTAATCACTCTTAAGTCTAGAAATTTAGCAGAGACTAACAAAAGATATGCCATTAACAAGAAATAAGTCAGGATAGTCTACAAAATTACGAATTTAACATATTGACCTGTTTAAACAGAATCATTAGTGTAATGTTATCCTTTCTGTTGTAGGTGATTGTAAAGAGAGTAACCAAACATGCTGGAAATGTTGGATTGAAGACCAATTAAGTTTGAAGCTCTTGTGTATGTGCTCTTTTAAGCTACAAGTATAAACTCTATTGATAGTATTGCTAAAGTACAATAGGATACTCTTAGAAATTGTAATTTTTAAACCTAACATATGTTTTGTATTTATTTATGGGAACAAAAATATATTTGTTAATTGATGTATTATGAAAATTTTAATATGCTTTTTCTGTACATGTTGCTTTACCAGGTAGGCTAGCCAGGTACAAAACTTACTGACTTGTTGGATTGTTATTTTCCTTAGTTCTATAAAGGATGAGGACATTTCATTAAAGTTATCTTCATCCTTTCTTCTTTACTTATCTGCCCTTACCTTCCTTCCATACTTGTCTAGATCTGTACTACACATAGTTATGGTGCCGCATGTAATGTAAACAGTTTTGGAATGTTTTTTTAGATGAGTATTTTAATATCAATTTTTATTTTAACATTTCAAAATGCTAATTATTTTTGATAGAATTGTCAATGTATTGTATTATAAAAATTTATTTCATCCTATTAGTTTTTATAATACATTCTATATAAAAATTAAATATTCTAAATTAAAATGGAAAATGAGATGTGACTGTATTATGAAACATGGTTATTTCTTCTATCTACCCCTATTTTAGTATTCATTTTAATTGTTGTTTGTATGATGTACAAGTTTTGTAATGGAAAAATGTTCAATATCTCATGTGAAAGTAAAATTTTGTATACAAAACTGATCTTTTTTTGTGTTTTCATGCCATAAATGTGTATCCATTATGCTGTAATGAAAGTTAAACCTTAAACAAAATTGTACAGATGCCATCATGGATCTCAATGATCTGTTTCATAATGGCATACTTCCATTGTTAGATTATCTTCTGTCATTGTCCAGTGGCGGATCCAGAAATTTTCAATAGAGGGAGGGGCCACTGACTGCATAAGAGGGGGCCCTCTCCACTCATGCTTCAGTGATTCCCTAAATAATCAACCATTTTTCCCATAAAAGGGGGGCCCGGGCCCCCTGGAAAACCCTCTAAATCTGCCTCTGTTGTCAAATAATCCCCCCATGGTTCAGCCTTCGTCAAATAAGTGCAAAAATATGACCAGTAGTAGAAAGTAGTCAAAGTTTGTTTTTGTTTTGCTAGCTGCCGTCATTTTTGTTAGCAATTATACTCAATCGCTCTAATAGCACAACCCCTATTGTATCAAAGGGGTCCACCTAAAGGACCCTAATCACTGTTTTAAAGCCCCGAGTGATATCAGGATATTGATTGTTAATCACTTTTACAGATAGACACGCCTGGAAGGAGAAAACCTTGATCAAGTTCAGATGATTGACTGCATTATTTAATTAATTTTTAGCAAATATTAATGAAAATTTAGATTAAAAAAAAAATTCAATTCAATTACGAAGAAAAAGATTAAAGAAGTCAAACACATGGTTTTATAGACTTAGATCATCTGCACTCTCTTTTAAAAAGTACAAAATTAGACTCTTAATCCTAAAATGGAAAATAATTTAATGCCAAAATAACACAAAAAACATCCTGTTTACATTCAAATGGGACTGCAAATTGTCAAAAAATATCATAATGACCATATTAAAGAGCTATGATTATGCAGCTACATGGTCTAGAACTATGATCAACTATGGCTTTTGCAACTTTAGGTCATTAAAACCATTTCAATGTTGCCCTCCACAAATATTTATTCAATGTTTTACAAAAACGTGTACAAAACTTCTTGCTGATGCGGAAAATAGTAGATATGGGTTATTGACTTCTGATTTGAATTTGACATGGAGAAAAACAATTTCGATTTTGTAATTCCTAACAAAATGACCAAAATAGGAACCTGCTAACAGGAAAAGACTTTCATGGTAACAGGACAGCTGAATTGTGGTCATCCTGGACTAAGAGGAGCTGGGCTTGATATTGGAGTTGTTACAAATGACAATAAATTAAAATATTGGCTATTCTATAATGAAAATAATAAATTAAACAATATATCAGTCTTATCACTATTTCTTACAAATTAATGCAGGAATGGAATAATTTCGATCATGACATGCTGAGTTTTTTCCAGTTAAAGTTACTCCATGGTTTCAATTTCGTGCTGGAGATCCGTGCGCCATCATGAGTTGGTTGACCATTGTGAAGTATCTGTTTCTGGAGCACCTGAGATCATTCCCAGTTTTTGGTGGGGTTTTTGTTGTTCAGTCTTTAGTTTTCTATGTTGTGTTTTGAATACTATTGTTTGTCTTTCGGCTTTTTTTGTTTTTTGCCATAGCATTTATACCAGTTTGTTTTTCCACTTATGAGAACTTTTTATCATCCCTTTGAATATCAGATATCTTTCACCTCTCTTTTATGATTCATCTACAATGTTCTTTCAAAGAAATAAGATTCTTGTTATTAAATATCCAAATTCAATATGGTGGCTTTTTTCAAATGCAACTGCTCCTTTGTCAACATTTTGACTAAAAAGTAAATTCCTGTCAAACTTGTATCACATAATCACTGATAACACCTAATGAACTCCAAGGTCAACTATCAATAGTCCAGGTGAGAAACTTGTCAACACAATAAATATAAAAAAGAGGATTTGGTATGATTGCCAATGAGACAACTCTTCACAAGAGACTATAATGGAATATGTAGACCGCTCTCTCACAAGCAAAAAACCCTAACTGTAAAAATATAAGGGAATACATTACAGGCACGGGGGTCCTTACAGCTTTAACAAATCATCACTGTGTACAATTAATAAGCATGAATATATATATACAATACCTCTATTTTATAGGTTGAGATACAAAAAAAAATCCAGGTTTTAATAATTTTGACACAGGCAATTAGCTTCTTGAATAATCTTTGCCATTATCCCAATGAAGATACTGCTTTCTGATTTTGAAACTATGAGCAGGAATTCAGGTATTGGTGGAAACAGTGTTATCACATGTACATGTAGACAGTATTGGTCCACCTTCATTAAAATTCAGACACAATATTCGAATAAGGTATGACTTGCTTTTCAGGATGAAATGTTAACGGGAAGTCTTCATACAAAATTCTTAAAATTGAATGGAAAAAGTTCATCAAAATATAGATAAACTAATCCGTATACTCACCTTTATGCATTTATCTGTTTTGTTAAGTTGTTTGTTTAAACACATTTGCTATAAAGCTATGATTGTATGACAATTGTATTTCATTTTTGCAATCCTGACACATTGTGTAACACAGCTCACTGGCAATTTGAGGCAGTCTGACCCTCATTTCATACCTATAACTGGATGCAGATCCAGGATTTTGAAAAGGGGGCCCCCAAACTGAGCAACATTTTAATTGCAATAACAGGTAGTAGTTAAATTGTATATATTAATATATGTATATCACAGGTAACATCTACTACAATTATTATGGATGATAGAACGAAAATGGTAAGCGCCCCTAACTTAAGTGACTTGTTGTCCAAATGGAGTTCATCAACTCATTCGGATAAGTGTTGGGATTAGAATGGGTTAGAGCCTCAGTTTATCCCTGGTGTTTCTGAAAATCCAAAACAGGACCCAGCTCCTGTTCGAACTTTGCCCGGCAGTTCGGATAGTCATTTGAGGTAATCTAGGTCTAGCATATTATCTCATATTGTAACTAGGCCAACTGAGATCTCTTATTTCTTGCACTGCAAGTATACAGGAGTCCCTACCTTCTGGCATAAGGAGAGACCCTTTTTGTAGAACTAGGTGGCCCATGAATTTCGTATACCCTCACATGCCTATGAGTATGCCCAACTTGCCTCCTAACGATCCCAACTCGGATTGGTCTAGTCAAAATTTCAGAGGTAAGCCCTCTTCAGGGTTGTCCTCTCTTAACTGGAGGAAGATGACACGGTGTCTTTGGTTCCCAGAAGTCAAGAGAGGGGTTTTCTTGATCAGGATTCTATCTCAGATGATGACAGTGTTGGTGAGAGTTCCATCCTAGATGAAGATGCTACTAACTCACAGGAGATTGAGCCTCCTTTAAGTACTCACACGCAGTCTCTAATGCTATTCGAAGGAACATTTCTGATCTCCCAATGTCATCTCCCCCAAGGATCTCTGCTTACCCTTTAGATTTCCTGTCTTGTTCTGGTTCGGTCAAGTCTGATTCGAATTCTTTCCCAGAGTCGAATCATTTCAAGTCGGCTTTGTCTTTAGTGAACTCTTCTTTGGTTAGGAACAATGCTAACAGTAACACTATCAAACCTAGTGGTAGCAAGTTCTCTGGTTTTGGACCTAATTCTTATCCAGGGAAAATAAGACCAAGACAGATCGATTGGAACCGGTGAAAGAAGCAGCTGTAACAAAAATATTACCTGCTCCTCTTCCAAAAGTTCCAATGGTAGCAGACTTTCCCACTTTCTAGTTCAATAATCTTTACTAACATCGAACAAGTGGGTTCTATTCATAAAACGGAGGGGCTTGGAGCTTCATTTTTAGCTCACCTGGCCCGAAGGGCCAAGTGAGCTATTCTCATCACTTGGCGTCCGTCGTCCGTCGTCGTCGTCGTCGTTAACTTTTTACATTTTGAACTTCTTCTAGAGAACCACTGAATGGAATGGAACCAAACATGGCATGAATGTTCCTTATGAGGCGCTGACCAAGTGTTGTTAATTTTAAGCCGATCCATCATCCAAGATGGCCGCCAGCGGGGGACATAGTTTAACATAGGACCCTATGGGAAATACATACAAATGTCTTCTTTTAGAGAACCACTGAATGGAATGAAACCAAACATGGCATGAATATTCCTTATGAGGTGCTGACCAAGTGTTGTTACTTTGCAGTCGGTCCATCATCCAAGATGGCCGCCAACGGGGAATTAGTTTAACATAAGACCCTATGGGACATACATACAAATGTCTTCTTTTAGAGAACCACTGAATGGAATGAAACAAAACATGGCATGGATATTCCTTATGAGGTGCTGACCAAGTGTTGTTACTTTGCAGTTGGTCCATCATCCAAGATGGCCGCCAGCGGGGGACATAGTTTAACATAGGACCCTATGGGAAATACATACAAATGTCTTCTTTTAGAGAACCACTGAATGGAATGGAACCAAACATGGCATGAATGTTCCTTATGAGGTGTTGACCAAGTGTTGTTTCTTTGAAGCTGATCCATCATCCAAGATGGCTGCCAGCGGGGGACTTAGTTTAACATAGGACCTTATGGGAAATACATACAAATGTCTTCTTTTAGAGAACCACTGAATGGAATGAAACCAAACATGGCATGAATGTTCCTTATGAGGTGCTGACCAAGTGTTGTTACTTTGCAGTTGGTCCATCATCCAAGATGGCAGACAGCGGGTACTAAGTTTAACATAGGACCTTATGGGAAATACATACAAATGTCTTCTTTTAGAGAACCACTGAATGGAATGAAACCAAACATGGCATGAATGTTCCTTATGAGGTGCTGACCAAGTGTTGGTACTTTGTTGCCGATTTACTGTTCAAGATGGCCACCAGGATATTTTATTAAATAATGGGACCAATATTAAACCAAATTTGGCCTCAATCATTATTTGGGTATCTGTTATGATTTTTATCTATCTTTATATGATTTCTAAAACCAAAGTAGAGTCAGGTGAGCGACACAGGCTCTTTAGAGCCTCTGGTTTGTTACAGCTATCTCTTTCTCCTGTTCCAATCGATCTGTCTCTGATAAAGTATTCTTAAAAGAATGTGT